AACCGCATAAAGATGAATAAAGTGGCATTTGGGATAGAATTTCAGGTGAGCTTGAGGAGGCTATTCTCAGCTGCCAGACAAACTTTAAAAAAGTACTCTGAGTAGTATTTCAAATGCAGTGATACCCAGTGTGTCTATAATTCACTCTTAGCAACAATGTAGTGTTACCCTCATCAGTGGCAGTCTGTCAAAATCAGGCTATAATGCCTTTACTCTTAGCCGAAGGTTTTTAGGAATAAAAAGCTAAAGCAGATGTTAAACGTGGCAAATTGTATCTTCCTTCTTCTTCCTCCTAGCTCCCTCTCACTATTTAATTTTTTGATGCTCCACTTCTGATTCTCTTTCTCTTACTACCCTTTGTTGTCTTAACCTTCCTCCATTTCTTCAATCTCTCTCCATTGTTTATTTTTATTTTTTAAAACTTTATTCAAATTCCATTATTTTATTATGGCTTTGGGGGACTAATGTGCTTAATTTCCATATAGATGCCTAAATTCCATACCATGATTAATAGTATCCAGTTCCCTAAATCTGACACTTGAGAGTCATATATAATACTTCCACAACATATTCTCATTCTTATGTCCAAATGTTCATCAGGGTCTTTTTCTTCTCCTTTCTATTTTGTCCTTTTTTTTTTTTTTTTTTTCAATTCATTACCCTCTTTTTTTGCCACCTTTTTAAATTGAATGATATTGCTTTACAGAATTTTGTGGTTTTCTTTCATACATCAACAAGAATCAGCCATTGGTACACCCATGTCCCATCCCTCCTGAACCTGCCTCCCATCTCCCTCAGCATTCCAGCCTTCTAGATTGTCACCATTGCCCTCTTTTTGATCCTTACCACATCTGCTTGAGTTCAAGCCTTCATCATCTCTAGCCTGGACTCTTGGCACAACTTTGTAATGCTTCTCCCACACAAGGCTATCTTCCCTCTGCCCCTTTATACACCTGCCAGTCTGTCACTCCCCAATTTCCTTCACTTGTTCCCAGAACTGGTAGATAGAGTCTTACCTTCCTTCCACTGCATACAGGAACCCCCCAAACCAAGTCCCTGTCTCTTTGTAGCCTCATCTCCACTGCCTGCTCATCTGCCACTGTCTGCAGCCATACTGAACTATGTTTGACTCCACCACTCTGTGACTGCACACACTCACCTTCTGCCAGGAATGCCCAGCATCTCAACATCTTCTCGGCCAACTGTTTCGCCTTCCAGTGCCCTGCCCAGAGATGCTTCTGCTGATACCCCCTTCCTCTGTGTACACCTGGGAGCTTCTGTCTACCCCATTACAGTACTGGTCATAGGGTGAAAACTACTTGCTTGCATGTTGTCACCCCTACTAAACTGTGCTTCCTTTGAGGGCAGGAATCTTTTGTAGCCTCAGTGGCTGGCACATGGGAGGCATGTTTGCAAGTTAAATGAATTTATTGGTTGGATGACTGGAAAGCACATTATTTAAACACCATCGCTTGACAAATGGACAGATATATTTCTATGTGATAAGGCAAGTTCAGTAAAATATTAATGATAGAATCTAGATGGTGGATATTCATTATAAACTTCTTTCAACTTTGCTGTATGTTTGAAAGTTTTTATTATTTTAAAATAAGATATCAGGAGGGGAACCATCTCCTAAACTTCAGTAGTTGAAACAATAATCAAGATTTTATTAGTGGCTCATGTTACCCATAGAGATCCCACTGAAAGATGGTCTTTTAGTTCCCAAGAGATCTTCCTCAGTCCTACTCTGTCCTGCTTGGAGTAGAGATGGACTGACTTCTCACTAGCCCCTTTTCTAAGAAACAAGGGAACCTGACTCTGGTAGAAAAAAGCAGTCCTCTTTTACCTCCTGCGATAACCAGAACTTGACCTGCGTAACCTTCCCCCACAACTGGACCTTCGTCCCAGTTTCCCCTTTGTAAGAGCAACTTCCTCTCTCCTTGATCTGATTTCCAGAAACCGTATCAGGTCACTCTTACATTACTTTCATGTAAGAGCCTTTTCTCTTTTGAAATCCATATTATCTGTGCATTTCATATCTCTATGGATGACAAGTTATGACTTAAATCAACTGTTTCATCTGTATTTTTCCAACTACAGATTACAACTGGCTCACAGACCACTTAGTCTATGAAGCTTCCCTGATCCAAACATTAGAGTCAGCAGTGAGCACTCTTAGCATTTGTGTAAATGGTTCCACATAACACATTCCATCTTGCTTTTTTTTTTTTTTTAAAGAAGTATCTTCCCTGTAGCACTATGAGCTTACAAGCATATTTGAATTGCCATAATAGATGGCAGAGGCTGGCCACAGCAAGCATTCAAGAAGTAGTTTCTGATGGAATGAACAGATAGTTTCAGACATTTTAATATACTCAATACATATGCTATTGGGAAGCTAAGGAGAACACAAAACAAGTTACAACAGCTATACTATTTCTCCTTTAATTCTAATTTTATCCTGTCTTAAATGAGTCAACAGCTTTAGGGAATAACAATTCTAAGATTAGTCATACTTTGCAGGATTAATAATTTCCTAAAAGTTTCCTTCTTTACTGAGAAGGCTAAATATATTGTCCTAACTGCATACTTCAGATTACAGTGATCAAAAGGTGATTTGGCCAGACAGAAATAACTATGAAGTATTTTTCCAAATAATCCAAGAAATATCAGATTAAACCTATCCATTTTAAGAGGATCTTTTAAGGCAGAAATAAGTACAGTTGCATAAGATATTCTGCTCACTATAAAAACAGCCTTACATCTTCAGCTGCAAAGTTTACGTACGATAATTATCCACTGTAGAGAACTGTTTGGAGAAATTACTAAAATGGCCTAAAATAAAGTTATAAATATAATTTCAACACTCATTATTGTGGGCATGTCAAAAAGCCAGGTCTTTCAACAATTATTAAGCCTTAATCCGTTGACAGTCATGCCAGAAGTCTCTGTACTTCACAATCAGAAGCTCTGTTTTCATGTTAAAATTCTTGATTTTAAGAGTAAATTACAAACAGCACATAAGTGTAACTGAAAATGATATGCCCTAGGTAGGGCTCTTCCAAATCTATGTTCAAATCCTGGTTCTTCTACATCCTCCTTTTGTAATGCGGGTTAGTCACTCTCTCTGTGCCTTAGTTTCCACATCAGTAATACCAACTCTCAAAAGGTTGTTATCATGATTATATAATACACATAGATATTTATGTACATGAGATATATATATAATGGATAAAAAATACAAAGGGCCTAACATAATACCCAACATACTTTACTATGATAGTTATATCCTCTTTCCCACCTTAATATTTTATCTTTCAACTCTGAAAAACAGACTCCCAAACCCACATGAACTGACTGATAGCCAATAATTTACAATAGATGAAGACTTGTTTGCTGCAAGGCTTAAAGAAATCTTTAAATTTTAGATCATTTAAGGAAAATAGTTTTGCTATGAAAAGTACTTCTGTTTGTCATAGATTTTTGAGCCGTTCTCAAGAGAAGGAAAGCTAGATTTATAAAATATCCCTTACCAAAGGGAAAAAAGGAGATGGCATTACAGCCAGAAATTCTGCCAATTAAAATTGTGATTTTGAATTAATGTAGGGTAAAGCTATACTTCTTCGAAACAGTAAACTATATAGTAAGCATACTGTATTGAGCCACTAGGGAGGTTCCTAGTGGTGCAGATGGCAAAGAATCTGCCTGCAGTGCAGAAGACCCGGGTTTGATCCCTGGGTTGGGAAGATCCCTTGGAGAAGGAAATGGCACCCCACTCCGGTATCCTTGCCTAGATAATTCCATGGACAGAGGAGCCTGGAGGGCTACGGTCCAAGAGGTCACAAAGAGTCAAGACATGACTGAACGACTAACACTTTCACTTTTCATATTGTTCAGATATAAGAAACGGGTGACTTGCAAAGATGCAAGTTTTCTGCATCTTGTCATGCAAGAGGCTTGCTCTTCCTAAAATGAAATTCCTCATGGAAATATTGAAAAATAAGATTAAAAATTATCCCTCAAACTGGATAGATTTTTATCAAAATGTACAATCTCTTTTTAATAGATTAGTTACCATATCATTTTCATTTGATAAATATTAACAAATTATAGTCAGCATAGCCCTTTATCTTTTTTTTTTTTTTAAGTAGAGCCCTATAGCTGGGTGTCTTACATAATTAAAATTCATGGCTTCAGACGTTTATATATGAGAAGGCAGTCTGAACTTCCTGACTATGCCACGGTTGTCTCTGGACTCTCCAGTTTCTGTGATAGTGTCTTGCACAAAGTAGCATTCAGGAGATTTCAAATGGATGCTTGATTGAGGAAACAAAGTACATTCATTTAAATATGATATAAGAAAGTTCAGAATTTAGATGGGTATCTGCTGTTAATACAGAGACTACCCCATATGTAACAGAAAATTTTCTGAGTCTGAAGACATTGTCCTCCTATATAAACAGCTATACAATAACATTCTTCTATTTTTCTTCAATGAGAAAATTAGTATTTAAAACCTAAGATGTTCCAAACATATGCTTTCATTATATGTATAACAAGCATGAATTTAATCTTTCCAATAGCATAAATCCATTGTTATAGCCAAAAAGAAACAAGTTTTTACTTTCAAGCTTGGTTCATTAGAAATCATTTCTATCTTTCTAGCACAAGTCAAACATAAAATGCTAGGTTGGACAGAACCTTAGAGATTATCTCCATTCCAGTCTTTCATTGTATAGATAAGTAAACTTAGCTCCAGAAATGTTAAGTGACTTAATAAGGTCATACAGTTAGTGGAAGAGTCAGGGGAAAAAAAAACAACTTAGGTTTCCTGATTATATATCCAGTACATGTATAGCTTTCACAAATACTCTATGCCAACACAATACAACAGTGGTTTTATGGGGCTCTTTGAACACTGTAAGTCAATACACTAGTTAAATCACTAGAGATTACAGTTCCCTTACCATCTGTACTGGAGGTACTGGGGAACTTACCTTCAGTACTGGAGATGGGGGTACTGTCACATTTACTTTCACACTGCTGCATTGATGGAGGTCTACTAGTTTCTGGACAGTCACCTGATGCCTGTCCAGTGTAGGAAAGACATTGCACAGTCCGCATTTGCTGTCCAAGGCCACACTGAGCAGAACACTAAACCAAAAGACAAGAAGAGACAAAATACTGTTCTCAACAATTTTCAGGAGAGAAAATAGATACTATGTCATTTCAAATACTATATATATTAGCTTTTCAAGCTCATATGTAGTTCATCTTGGAGAGGTATATGATTAAATCATTCTATTACATAGCATTGGCTTGGAAACTCAAGGATCGTGTCATTACCCTAGAATATAGAAGTAATATAGTTTCCAGAAGACAACAGATGGAGATTTCTTGGGCTGTTATTCCAACAGTGTCAAGCAGTGCCAATGAAGTTAAACAAGAGTATAAAGAGCAAATACCTGTGATGAAGTAAAATAGTCAAGAGACTCTAGGGCTGGGACATCACTATTGCTCCCTATTTATTAAAGACTTGTAGGAAGACAAATCAGTGGTCTACTGGAGTACTCTGAATTTGATTAAAATATTAGCTCAGTCTAACAGCAGTGACCATTGTGGGCCCTGGTGATGAGGCCAGTTTGAAAAAAAAAAAGAAAAGAGACATTAAATAAGTACCTTGTTTTGTAAGGTATACAAATCTGAGACAAATCTGAGAAGAGGCCTGTAGCTAGCCAGTTAGCATGTCTCCCTTCCCTTTTCCACCTGCTTGGGATCATTCACTTTAGAACTGAAGTGCTCTCTGAGGGCTTAGGACTCAGCTGGGCCTGATCAGCTGTCCGGGCTGAAGAGTGAAGCTGTGGTCTATTTCCGGGGCCTGCCACTCAGAATACTGGAAAGCCTGTGAGATTTGGGATCAAGGAGATGAGGAACTACTTGTGCAAAGATAGGTGATGGTGATATTTACAAGATAAATAGACCGAGGCCCTGTTGGACTAATTTGCAAAAACTCTCAAGGCACTTATAGGACTTGCCATGATATTCACAGATACTTTTATTTTTAACTTTCTAAATACAGAATGATGAGTAAATGCACCATAAAGATGTAATAAAGCATCTTTGAAAGGTATTTTCACTGGTTAATTTCAATTTTAGGAAACTGAATTGAAAGTATAGAGGAGAAGAAAAGGACTTGACAACATTTAAAAGAATAAACTCAAACAGGGAAATTTGGTGAAATTATTAACATGCAAAAACTTCTACATGACCTCTATATACCAGTACATTGCAACAAAGAATATATAAGAAAGGAAATTCCTATCTGATTTAAATAAAAATCATAAGAGTATGTCTGCTCTGATTCTTTAATAGCATAATATCAATTATAAATTGTGAAACTATCACACGTCTACAGATAAATACTTAACTGCATTCGATTCTTACTTAAGCTTCTGATGTATATTCCACTTGAGCACTTTGTAAATTAAACTAAATATCATTATATGAAAGAACATTATTAATTATTTGTTAGACAAATGCAAATGTTAATTATTTTATGGTCACACTTCTTTTATTTCCCCACAGGGCTGAGCATAGACCAAGAATATTTATTTGCCTTAATGGAGACTGAAAATCTTTGCCCACTCCCCAGAGAAGTCTGTAGATACAGCTACACTCTGGCAATAATGCATTTTGGCCACAGTTTTGGTAATTCTATGAAATGCCATTCCTACTAAGTAATGGCAGGCCCAGAGCACAGACAAAATCATGCTGGTGTAGTTACATGCCACTACAATTTACTTGGGCTCTCAGATATTAGAAAATAACTAGCTACAAGGTTAATTGTAAAACCACAGGAAAAGGCCATTGAGTCACTAGAAATTTATTTTCTGGAGCATTATTGTTTAATATAACCTAAATAGGGTTCCTTTTCGACTTTCAAAAGAACAATACTTAATTTGCCTTCTATCCAAATATACCAATTTGCTTTCAAAGGATTTAAGAGGACCTTCAGCAAGATAACATAATTAAAAACTGAGAAAGAAAACAATAGGAATTGGAAGAGAAATATAAATGGATCCAATTAATATAAAACCACAGGGACGTCCTGGCAGTACAGTGGACAGGACTCCGCCTGCCAGTGCAGCGGACACAGGTTCGACTCCTGCTTCAGGAAGATCCCACATGCTGCGGAGCAGCTAAGCTCGTATGCCACAACTACTGAGCCCAGGTGCTACAACTGCCGAAGCCTTCGTGCTGGGGCCTATGCTGTGCAACGAGAGACGCCACAGCAGTGAGAAGCCCTTGCACCAAAATGAAGAACAGTGCCTGCTCACCCTGACTGAAGAAAGGCTGCTCACAGCAATGAAGACCCAGCGCAGCCATAAAAAAAAAAAAGACAAAACCTAATTAAGATCCTTACATGTTTTCTGTGAGGTTAAGAGGATTCATTTTCTTAGTGTGAAAATTAAGAAAATGGTGTTAACTGATTTGTTCTTGAAACAGTTGAGAGAGTTGGCAGTAGAAGCCAAAGTTCTGGTCAAATCTCTGGTCATCTAGATTATTTCTCTTTAAGTTAAAACGTTAGAATCCGAGAAGTGGGTGAACGTGGGAAGTGTGTAGGTGTGGGAGAAGCATGGCTCAGGGTGTCTACATGAGTGCGGCGGCCTGTGCACTGTTTCACATCCACGTCTCACACCTGTAGGTCTGTTACTCATGTCGCAAGCCCCTATCATGACCCAGTCAGGAACCTCGAGTGTCTCAAGCTGCTGCTTCAGCAGGGGCCCACAGTCCAACTGCCTTACCTGGCCCCAGTCTCCTGTCACCCAGCGAGGAGGAGGGCAGCGGCCCAAACTGCAGCGGATGCGGACAGGGGGTTTGTTCTCCTCGGAACACTGTGTTGCTGGGAATGTTTTAGAAAGGTCACTGCTCTTGCACAGAACAATCCGATGCTTGAATCCTGGACCACATTTGGGAGTACACTGTAAATAAAACACATATTAATGAATAATGATAGGCTAAAGATAGAGAAAAATTTGAGGGAAATCTTTCTCCAACTAAATGTGTATTTGAGTAAACAACATACACATGTACTAAATCTTAAGCAAAGTCTTAACAGATATGAAAATTCCTTAAGTTTTTAAATAGAAGAACTTCTATCTTTTGCCCTAAGGTCTTTAAAAGCTAAATCCAGAGTTTGCTTTTCTTGGCAGCTTATCTTCTGTTATTGCATGAAGGTTTATTTCTTTTGACTCCTCCCTATCCTTGGCCATATTCAGTTTGTGGTAAGATGCTGCTGATTTTTGGAATGTGGAATTCTTGGTTTCTTTTGAGAGTCCCTTGGACTGCAAGGAGATCCAACCAGTCCATCCTAAAGGAGATCAGTCCTGAGTACTCAATGAAAGGAATGATGTTGAAGCTGAAATTCCAATATTCTGGTCACCTGATGCGAAGAACTGACTCACTGGAAAAGACCCTGATGCTGGGAAAGACTGAAGGTGGGAGGAGAAGGGGACGACAGAGGATGAAATGGTTGGATGGCATCACTGACTCAATGACAAGAGTTTTGGGTTGGTGATGGACAGGGAGGCCTGGTGTGCTGAGGTCCATGGGGTCGCAAAGAGTCAGACACGACTGAGTGACTGAACTGAACTGAGGTGTAGTCTTCTGAAAAAAATTCTTATGGGTACTAGAGGGCCATGAGAAATTACCTTTGTGAAGCAAGCTAAGGATTGATTTAGATGTGCACAGTTGGCCCTCAGGATCATCAGGGGACAATTTCAGGACCCTGGAGGACACCAAAACCTGTTGATGATCAAGTCCCTTGTATAAAATGACACAGTACTGGCATATAACCTACACACATCCTCCTGTGAACTTTAGATCATCTTTAGACTACTTATGATACCTAATACAGTATAAACACTATGCAAATAGGTGCCAGTGCGGAAAATTCACATTTTACTTTTTGGAACCTTCTGGAATTTTTTTCCCAAATATTTTTGATCGTGGGTTGGTTGAATCTGTGAATGTGGAACCCCTGGAGATATAGCAGACCAAATGTACTCTTAGTATGCGGTAGCTAAGAATACATGATCACAGGTAAAGATTTATTGCACAGAGAATATCTGGATTCTTCCTTGTCCATCAGTTAAACATAATGAATTTGATGATTCTTTAGTTGGACCAGTAAGCTCTTACACACTGAGGAAAAGATCCTTCTTCCTGTCACAAAGTCTATTATTTACCTCTTTTTGAAGTTAATTGGAGTGCTCTAGAGTTACTGTTCAGGAGTTACCTACTCAACATGGTGGCTGGCTGAAGTCCTCCAGCTTTCTCCCCTGAACATCTGAGCCTTTCCTTAAAATCTGTACTTGTCAGTGAAGTGAGACCCTTACCCACAATAATTTGAAGCCCTGTTTCTACATCTTTCATTCAAAAACTACTATCACATTTCCTACAGTAACTACACTAGACTGTAGTATAGTGTAGACTGTAGGGGGAAGGGAGACCTAAGAATGAATAAGTCAGTTTGTATCTCAAGGAGCTCATGGTTTTAATGAAGGAGATATACATGTGAACATAAGAATAAGTAACATTAAAGAGAATGTAAGAATATATAAATTTTTGTGCCCTTAGTCATCATCTACCTATTTTATGATTATGAATTCATATGTCCTCTCATTCCTATCAGACTATAAGCTTAAAATCATTTCATCTCTGCTTCATCTTCATATACAACCTCACCCCATCCTCAGGGTCCAACAGAGGACTTTGAGAATGCACTCAGTAAAGATATTGGAAATATCTTCAAAATATAAATATATTTGCAAAGATGATGGTTTGATTTATTTTTAGGTAAATCAAGACCTACTAGCCATGGGATAGGAATGTCTTAAGGAACAATGTACACTCTCCCCTGAGCGGTTTGTCGGTGCAATCTTGAACTGGTCACATGTCATACAGAGAAAGAAAAATAACACAAATTTTTCATGTGTAAATCAAGGACCCATGAACACTCTTCATCATAATGAATGTAGTAACAGAGTGCATTTCCTCCAGCTTAGAAAACATTTAATTAAGATACAGTTGAAGGAGAATCACATCCAGTTTTTTCCAATATGGTTCCAAAAAAGGCTTTAGTTAAGGATTTAGAGGTCAAGAGAGAAATTCCTGATCCCTGTTATTATGTTTTACAGCCAAGTCAACATCCTTCTTTACAGCTGCAGCTTCATTCTACCCATATAATCAGTCACTAGGTTCTATTAACCGAATTCCTAAACCTCTCTCACATCTGTTGATTTCTGTCTCCACTGCCACTAACCCTACTACCAACAAACATCATTTCTTGAATGTAATAATGCAGTGACTTTCTACCAGGTCTGTTTCTTGCTCTTGTCTTACTTCAATTCATTCTCTAAAGCACATATCTGATTATGTTCTATTTTGATTAAAAAAAAAAATCCTACAGTGGTCTTCAAGATATAAACTCAAACTCTTTAAATATGCTTACTATACACTGATAGGAAGGCTCTGCTTACCTTTCCAGATTCACTTCAATAGGCAGAAAGCCAATGCTGCTGCTACTACTATGACTGTGTGTGTGTGTGTGTGTGTGTGTGTGTATTCAGTTGTGTCTGACTCTTTGTAACCTCGTGGACTGCAGCTTGCCAGGCTCTTCTGTCCATGGAAGTTTTCAGGCAAGAATACTGGAGGGGGCTGCCATTTCCTACTCCAGGGGAATCTTCCTGACCTGGGGGTCAAACCTGAGTCTCCTTCATCTCCTGCACTGGCAGGCGGTTTCTTTACCACTGAGCCACCTGGGGAGACTTAGTCCTATGACTACTGCTGCTATTAATAATGATAATTATGATAGCAGCCACCATTTAATAAATACTCTAGATATCAATGGCTTCCCTAGTAGCTCAGCTGGTAAAGAATTCGATTGCAATGCAGGAGACCCTGGCTCAACTCCTGGGTTGGGAAGATCCGCTGGAGAAGGGATAGGCATCAAGTGCTATGCTAAGTGCTGTAATTCACAAAGTTCTCACAAAAATTCTATGAGATGACAATTATGTTTAAAAGGAAGAAAAAACCTTAGGGTAAGTGATTGGTACAAAAACATGCAGTGATTAAATGGCAGACCTAATGTTAACACCTATTGAGTGTTTCCTGGATGTCAGACCCTACACCATGAACTTTGTATATATTATGTCATTTAATCCTCACCACAGCCGTGTTACTTTATATTTCAAAATATTTTACTTTATATTTCAAGATATATTTACTTTATATTTCAAGTCATTAGACATGCAACACTATCTTGCAATCATGCATTCTGTAGAATGTCCTGATTTGAGTCTCTTGAGCTTGCTCCACTTGTGTTTGGTCCTCTTGACTTCACACAAGTCTCTTCTACCATTTATCAGAGTTAGAAGACACAACCTTAGAGAATTTCTGTCACTCTCTTAATGTTTAATATTATTACTGATAATGATAATCCTACTGCTTTATATTCCACTGAGTTTCACAGTTCAGTACATTATTCTCATATATATTTTTGAGTCTTTAACAGGGAGCGTAAACAATTTAATTGAGGTTAAACAGATAGCAAATGGTAGAGCTGGAACTAAATTCTAAGGCTTCTGTTCTGATCCATACTTTAGCTCTTAGCATTCATAGAAACAAAGTCTCATGAATACATTAGTATTAATTATTATAAAAATAAATAAGGTGAAGTACAAGAGGATAGAGGGGTACTTCAGACTTTAGGGATATGAGCCGAGACATACAGGATGTACAGGGAATTCCAATTAGTATTTAGTATTCAGTTTAGTGTTCAGTCAATATTTTGAGGCTATGATTAATTTTCTACATTGGGAAAATTTATTGAAAAACGCGCTCAAGCCTTTCTCTTTCTCTCTTCGTATTTTAAAAGCATATGCATGTATATTAAAGCCTCAGATAAAAGAATGTCTATATGGGTGTAACTGAGTCACTGTGCTGGATAGCAGAGGTCTGTACAACACTGTTAATCAATGATATCGCAATTAAAAAATAAAGTTAATTAAAGCCTGGGACATAAGTCTCTTGTTTATTCTAATATCTTTTTACAGTAGCAAGAAGCTTCTGCTCTTATTTGAACACTGTAGTGATATCTAGCAGTCTTCCCTAAGAGCCTGTGCCAAAGTCCTGTTTACAATTAGGGGAAGCAGACAATGCAAAGACAGACGATTCATTCATTTGTCTCTGAGAAGTCCCCAGGGAACCAAAGACAAAACAAAACAAATGAGATCGCTGACAATAGGGAGAAGAATAAAAAGAGAAAGCAACACTGAAATTTATTAAGTGTGCTAAGCTCTCTGCATATCATGATCTACCTAATCTTCACAGAAACCTCACAAAGTGCTGTTTTCACACTCATTTTACTAGTGGGAAGCTGAAGTATTGAGTAGTGCAGATAAATTCACATGGCAGTTCTGAAAAAGTTAATGATCTGAAAGATAAATGTACAAATCCTCTGTGGGACAATGTGAAGTTATATGCAAAGCTTAACATATATCTTCTATTGAGGCCAGAAATAATTTTAGAAAATTATAGCCCAAGCTCCACTAAATAAGCTATGGATATTCTATCCTGTAGCACTGGAAATAAAGAGATAATCAATTGGATTCTCAAAATAGTGAATGACTGAGAACTACATTAAGATTCAATGAATACAACGTCCCCAAGCCCTGAAGATCTAGCCATGAATATTACATGTCTATAGTCATAATCTCAACTCTTCAGAGAGTGATTGTAAAATTAAGTGTTTAAATATGCTTGTAAAAAATAATAAAGGCACGGGGATGTCACTTAGACTGGCTTTGATTTAAGTAGTGCTTCATCCTGCAAATTCTTCTGACCTTATGTCAGCGATGCTCAAGCAGAGACATCCCTCAGCTTGTTTTTATTTTTACTTTGTCCCTCTGCTTTATTTAGG